TATATATATATATATATATATATATATATATATATATATATATATATATATATATATATATATATATATATATATATATATATATATATATATATATATATATATATATATATATATATATATATATATATATATATATATATATATATATATATATATATATATATATATATATATATATATATATATATATATATATATATATATATATATATATATATATATATATATATATATATATATATATATATATATATATATATATATATATATATATATATATATATATATATATATATATATATATATATATATATATATATATATATATATATATATATATATATATATATATATATATATATATATATATATATATATATATATATATATATATATATATATATATATATATATATATATATATATATATATATATATATATATATATATATATATATATAAACAAACAAATATAGATACAAACAAAAATAAAAATATTTGACATTTAATATAGAATATTTTTAAATAACTGTCTTCAACAATGTAAAATGTAACATTTCATTTCTTTCATGTCAAAAAGCATCACATTTACCCACATCTTTTCAGTTTCAGGTTTCTGTTCAATTTTATGTGGTGCAGCATTGTTTAGTCTCTTCAGATTTTGTGTTTCTTTCTGATCTTCCCAACTGTCAACAAAGTAATCCGGCGAAATGACAAAGAAAGCTGATGCTGATCCTCGTGCATGCATTCGAAATGCTGATTGACTCACAGAAAGAACCTTATAGAGCCAAGCTAGAGTTCGACTTTATAGATAAAACCTTTTTTTGTTGTTTAAATAAGTCTTAAAATGTTACAACATATATAAAAAAGCATCACATAATGTAAATGAGCTGTTATTTAATAAGAATTTCAATAACTCAATTTTGACAAAAATGTCTGATAGAACCTTATAATTCTAAGGTGATGAAAAATAATAATAGGGTTTCAATACAATTCAACCTAATAATTAAGCATTATGCAAAACACATTCAGGAAAACATGGCAAACATCAATGCTTGTTTGATCTGTGAGCTGCACGGACCACTTGGGATCAAGCAGTTGAAAATATGGTAAAACCCATGCTTAACATTTAAGAACTATTTCCAAGTTTGCATTCATAGGGCCCTATCAAACACCCGACGCAATATGGCGCAAGGCGCGACACAATTGTTGTTTGCTAGTTTTAGCTTGGCGCAAGAGTCGTTTTGACGTTTTGCACCACGCTGTTTAAATAGCAAATGCATTTGCGCTCAAATATGTTCTGGTCTAAAAAGGCAGGTGTGTTGAGGTGTATTGTTGGCGCATTGCTATTTTGAAAAATTATAATAGATTTTTCAATAGACCAGAACAAAGCCAGTCTATTGTCCAGCGCAGAGCGCGTTAGTTGTGTGCCTCTCTTACACACTGCTTAATACACACAAGATGTAGAGCAATACACAAATATCTTTACATAGGAAAAATAATTTAAATATTAAGGATATATATAGGATATAATAAGTATATATATATAGGATATAAATATAAAGGATTAAAATATTACAAAACATTATTTTCTAGCCTACATAAATATAAAAACTACTGCTTTTATGCTATCTTCGTCTCGGGAGGCTTTTTCAGTTAATTCATAACAATTTGCTTTTGTATAATGTTATTATTATTAGCAGTATTATTTATTATATCTATATTTATATTTGTTTTATTTAAAAAAGCTTAGATTTGCCCAGCTGTCAGGTTTTAGACCAAATGGGGCATAGCATGTGTATTATTATATAATTCAGTTTTTTGACCACACTTCCTTTTAATTGTTTATTTATTCGTTTGCTGGAAATTAGAACTGAATTTAGAAATAGTTTTGAAACAAATATTTGCCCTTAACAAACAAAATAATTTATTTATAGGCTAATTGATGTCTGTGCGTACAAGGTTTCCCTATCCACGAGAGCTCTGTTTAACTGATTTCTTGCAAGTGAAACGCTCAGTTTTTCCACTTACACTAACTTTGTGTCATGTAAATAGCAAATGCATCATGGCGCGACACAGGGGAATTAAAGGGAATGGGAGATGATTGGTTTATTCTTAAAACACACCTATAACTCATTAAGAAAATAAGTTCAACCCTTTTAGACCATGCGCCACGGCGCAAAGCAGATTTTTCCGTCCTTATATTAGCAAAAGTGGATTCTGACACCCCCTGAATGTGTTTGTGCCCTGAGCTTTGCGCATGGACCGTCAAAATAGAGCCCATAGTGTTGCTTTTATGACATAAACAGGCAAAAAGAAACACGAGCAGTTAAATATGTATTATATGCTCTTATGTTATATGTTTAATAGAATAAATGTAACTTCTTAAATGAATATCTTGTATATTCTGGGATTTTGCTTTGTTATTGAAAATTCAAATAATTAATAAAATTGTCAAAATACAATTAAAAATAATAGTTGATTTAGTATTTATATTTAATGACAAAAAAAGCTAAATATATAAAAAATAGATATCTAAATATAAAGAAATAACTATTTAAAACAGCATTTGATGGCTTCTGTAAAACTTTAGTCAGGGTTGAGACAGCAGAATCATCTAATTTTGCAATGTAACAACTATATTGGTGTGTGTTTCTTTTTAATGTCCTGTAATACAAAAGGTCTGGTTCATACTTGTTAAACCATAATGTTACCATTTGTTTAAAAGTAATGCACTTTATTTGAAAGTGATTTTTTTTCTTTCCCAATCTTCCCACATAGACAACAACACAAATATGTGTTTACTAATCTTACTTCACCATTTAGGATAAATCTCCCTCATCTCAAATGAAAATAAAACAAATTTACAACAGCGCAAACCATAATAATACACTAAAGCATTGCCCGGACAGAAGAACACATACACTTCAGTGCAAAAAACAGAACAAGCACATGTATTATTATCAAAATGTTTAACAAATTCAGTCACCATTGCTACAGCTCATTCCCCTTACAAACATTTAAAAAAGAATAACAATATTGTTTTTTTTTTCACACCTAACATATGAATGCACAGTAACCTGGATGAAACTTACCTGACCGATGCCTCGGTTACTGAGACTGATCATGCAAGCTGTGTCAGTTATTTATCTGCTTCCTCTACTCTGAAACTGCCGTTAAGATCAAGGTTGGTTGTTTTAAGTATGCAGGAAAAACTTCAGCGAAAAGTACAGTAGGTCTCCGTTCAAGGAACTGACTTTATCTAACATCCTGATCCAGCAGCGCTGTGATCTGACCTGTTCAGTCTACGTCAATCGGGTAACAAGCTTGAAAACTAATAATACTTCTTCCGCTTCAGGGATTCCTTCCTTTGAGAATCCAAGCTGTTCTCTGACGGACACTGTCTGGGACTGACCACACAACTGTCTAGAATCACAAAATGAACCTGCTGCAAACCAACAAATGTAATACAGGAGGTTTGTGCACAGCCAGCTATATACTGTATAGGGTTGTCAACCGATACTTAATTGCTATTAATCGCATGGGTTAACTATAGTGATTAATCGCAATTAACCTTAAATTAATAAAATGGTGTATTTTAAAACAGCATAACAAGAACATCATTAACTTACATGCACGCAATAAAGAACTAAACAAAAGGTAATACTGAAAACGACTTTTTTTTACCCATTTATTTTGTATAAAAAAATGTTATGTTTCAGTTTTATATTGTGTGGCCTTAAGTCACCGCTGTTGATGTTATGCAGTTTTAAAATGAAACATCAATTTAAGGTACATTCACGACAGATTAAAAGTGCAATTAAGTTGCGTTTAATCACAAGTTAACTCATGTGATTAATCAAGATTCAATTTTATATACAAAAGAAAATATACATGTACATATACACATTTTCAAATGAGTATATGAAGAGTTTAGATGCAAAAACCTCTAAAAGCCGTTTGAAATTTCCTTTAAAACAAGCATTTTTACCAGGCTCCTGCATGTAGGTTCAGTAAAATCAAGCTTATGGCAAAGATTACACTCTTTTAAAAGTTTTTAAAATGAAATAACTCAACATTAACATAGGAATCTGAAAAAAATGCAAATTTTCTATGAAAATGTCAGACGGCACTTAGGAGGTTTTTGCATCTGAACTTTTTTTGCATCTAGAGTATACAGTGTATATATATGTATGTATATATATATATATATATATATATATATATATATATATATATATATATATATATATATATATATATATATATATATATATATATATATATATATATATATATATATATATATATATATATATATATATATATATATATATATATATATATATATATATATATATATATATATATATATATATATATATATATATATATATATATATATATATATATATATATATATATATATATATATATATATATATATATATATATATATATATATATATATATATATATATATATATATATATATATATATATATATATATATCTATATATATATATATATATATATATATATATAGATATATATATATATATATATATATATAGATATACATATA